ATCTGAGTAAAATAAATCATCTTTCCAATGACATTCATCTCCTGATCTGCTGGCCTCACCAAACCTTAATAATAATAAAACCTACATTTTACTTATTTATTTTAAAGTAGGCTACACACCCAATGTGGGGCTTGAACTCATGACCCTGAGATCAAGAGTCTGATGTTCTACCGACTGAGCCACCCAGGTGTCCCAAAACCTACATTTTAAAACACTCACTCACCCCATCTCTAAGACCTCTCCACAAGCCATGGTTTCCTACCTCCAGATGGTGATGGCCAGGGTGCACAGGACCCCGGTGAAGGATGGGAAAAAGAGCAAGAAGATGAAGAAAGTCATCATCTGTGAGGCTCGCCAGGCTTTGCTCGGAGGCTGGAAATTCATCATCAGGCTGATCTGAAGAGAGAGAAGCAGACACCTCCCATCTGTGGCCAGAGGGACAGGCCAGAGGGACCCCAGCCAGGCAATGGCTTCCCGATAACCCTTCCCAGCACCCCTCCCCACTGCCCCCCGACTCAGTTCCAACCACGGGGCCACATGGGACTGGGAGAAGCTAATTCGTTCCACCTTCAGGCTGACTCACGTTTTTGACATAAAACATGATGAAAAGAGTAATCATTTGGATAAAGGGCAGCAGAGGGCAGAAGAAGGTTCCAATCCTATGAGGGAAAAAGGGTGAGTGTCAAAAGTCAGGGGAAACATGAAGACAGAGAATGTGGTGGGGGGAGGGCAGGTACAGGGGATGTGGAGGGAAGGGAAAGAGGGTGTTACAGGCTGAACTGTGCTTCTCCAAAACGCGTATGTTGGAGTCCTAGTACCCCTAGTACCGCAGAATGTGACTATTTGGAGAAGGGGTCTTTAAAGAGGTAATTAAAGTAAAAGGAGGTCCCTAGAGTAGGCCCTAATACAATATAACTGGTGTCCTTAAAAGAAGAGATTAGGACCCAGATACACACAGAGGGACCATGTGAAGACTGTGGAAGCAGGTGCCATCCCACAGGCCGAGGACAGAGGTCTCAGAAGGAACCAACCTACGAACACCGTGATCTTGGACCTCTAGCCGCCAGAACTGTGAGAAAATAAATTTCTGTCGTTTCAGCCACCCAGTCTGTGGTATTTGTTATGGACGCTCTAGCAGACTAATACAGAGGGAGTGTGCTCTATGGCTGTAGACCAGGAGCGTTCCCACCACACCCAGTATACCCGGCTGCTCCCTTCCCAGCTTTGGAAAAGAGAGTTTGCAGAAAGCACCACCCACACACCACCAAATGGTCTTCAGCAAGCCCTAACCTAGGTGTCCCGAATGCGGGACATGTCCTCCTGCTTCCTCCATGGCATTCAAGAAGGTCTGAGGTCCCGCAGGGAGAGGCATTAAACTGCACTGAGTTACAGATGGGAAGGGCATTCTCTCTCAATTCTCCCCAATACTCCTGAATGCCGAGAGAAGAAAATCTCACTTTGGTGGTCCTAACACTTGTCAACCTCCCTTTGTTCCCAAAAGAAAGGTGGGAGGGGGGAGGTAAAGCTTTAAACTGAGAGCCTTGGCAGACGGGAGCATCCAGCTAGAATTTAATGACTGGTGGTGATTGGCTTGGTTTTATTTTATTTTATTTTTCTTATTTTTTTAAAGTTTATTTATTTATTTTGAGAGAGACAGAGACAGCTTGAGTGGGGAAGGGACAGAGAGAGAGAGAGAGAGAATCCCTAGCAGGCTCCATCATGCTGCCAGAGCAAAGCCCCATGCAGGACTGAACCCTTGGAACCATGAGATCACGACCTGAGCTGAAACCAACAGTCAGAGACTCAACCAACTGAGCCACCCAGGCGTCCCTTATTTTATTTTTCTAAAGTGACTGACATTTTTCCTTTTTTTTAACAATTTTTTTTAATGTTTTTTATTTATTTTTGAGACAGAGAGAGAGCATGAACAGGGGAAGGGCAGAGAGAGGGAGACACAGAAATCGAAGTGGCTCCAGGCTCTGAGCTGTCAGCACAGAGCCTGATGCAGGGCTCGAACTCACGAACCGCAAGACTGTGACCTGAGCCGAAGTCGGACGCTTAACCGACTGAGCCACCCAGGCACCCTGACATTTTTCTTTAAGTAATCTCTAGACCCAAGATGGGCCTCAAACTCACGACCCCAAGATCAAGAGAGATCAAGAGTCAGATGCTCTACCAACTGAGCCAGCCAGGTGCCCTGGGTTTTGTTTTATTTTTTAAGTTACTTGCAGTTTCTCTCAAATGACTGATTTTCCATTCTGGTGGTAAAATAAAGACTCCTTTAAAAATGTATTTAGGGGCACCTGGGTGGCTCAGTCAGTTAAGCATCTAACTCTTAATGTCAGCTCAGGATATGATCACACGGTTTATGGGTTCGAGCCCCACACCAGGCTCTGCGCCGACAGCATGGAGCCTGCTTGGGATTCTTCCTCTCTCTCCGCTCCTCCCCTGTGTGCTCTCTACCTCTCTCCCTCAAAAATAAATAAATAACCATTAAAAAAAAATAAAAATAAAAAATAAAACATTTTTAAAAAGGCAAACTATATAAAAGATAATACTAAGTAAAAACCAGTACCAGTGATATGTAGATAAGCCAAAAAATAGGCAGGCTGGTGTGCAAAAGGCTGAAGTTTGGGACACACTTACCTCACCTCATCTCTACCATTGTCCCTAATATACATTGCCTTTCTGTCACCCTGTTATCTTCTTTTAAAGCTCATCATCAAAGGCAACATTCTCCTAAAACCCACAGAGGTTAAATCTATCATTTCCATGGAGAAAAGAAAAGATACATGTGTTTTCAATTGTGCTTATTTGCAATTTATTAACACAAACCATAAAGACCCAGAAGTAATAATGGCCATCTCTGATTGCAACTTTTTCCCCCTTGCTGCTAACATTTCCCTTTGGAACCTTCATTAATGGTCAATAGTATGAGGGCTTTGTTTCTAGGGCTCAAAAACCTGGCCAAAGTAAGCACTCAATAAATGGAGCCATATTGTTATTACCACATCAGCTGATTTATGCACGTCATTTATTAAAAAACAAAAAACTTAAGAGTGCTCATAAGTACAATATAATCCAGCAATTCTACTTCTGGGTATATATCCAAAAGAACTGAGGGGCGCCTGGGTGGCTCAGTCAGTTAAGCATCTGACTTTGGCTTAGGTCATGATCTTGTGGTTTACGAGTTCGAGCCCCACGTTGGGATCTGTGCTGACAGCTCACAGCCTGGAGCCTGCTTTGGATTCTGTGTCTCCCTCTCTCTCTGCCCCTTCCCCACTGGCACTCTGTCTCTGTCTCTAAAAAATAAGCGTAATAAAAAAGAATTGAAAGCAGGGTCTCAGAGAGATATTTGCACACCCATAATCATAGCTGCATTATTCACAATAACCAAGAGGTAGAAGCAACCCAAATGTCCACCCATGGGTGAATGGATAAACATGTGGTATATCCATACAGCAGAATATTATTCAGCCTTACAAAGGAAGGAAGTGCTGATACATGCTACAATATGTATGAACCTGAAGAACATTATGCTAAATGAAATAAGCCAATCACAAAAAGATAAATTGTGTGTGATTCCACTCACATAAAGTATCTACAGTAGTAAAACTCTGAAAGACAGAAAATGGAATGCTGGTTGCTAGCGGGGTAGGGGAAGGAGGAAATGGGGAGTTCTTGTTTAATGGGTATGGAGTTTCAGTTTTGCAAGATGAAAAGAGTTCTGGAGATCTGTGGCACAGCTATGTGAATGTATTCAACACTACTGAACCATACATTTAAAAATAGTTAAGATGATAAATATTATATTATGTATATTCCTACCACAATTTTTAGAAGGTGCTCATAAGGGTGACAAACAGCCACAATATCCCCACTTAGAAAATATTTCTGAGTCAGTCTGAAGATTCTCAAAACTTACCACACCAGAGTTTGTGCATAGATCAGTTCCAGGACGTTCCTCGCGATGTCAAACTCCTGTAAACCAAGGCTCGTTGGAAACTGCATTCCAATGAGTCTGTGAAAACATCACTGAGTTTAGTGCCCCAACCATCAACCCTCTCCTTCAGAAGATTCCCCACAATCAACAAAGTAGAGCATCACCAGTTTGGAATAAAGTCATAAGTTCTTTTGCAAATTTTTGAAAAGTTCCAAGTGTAAGTGTATTTTTGAAGAAATAATTGAAGGAATTGAGGGAAAATGGAACTATCACAATGCATTCGAGCAGAGGTACTGCTGAAGTGGTTTACAAAATTCTAGGGCCGCCTGGGTGGCTCAGTTGGTTTAACTTTTGACTCTTGATTTCGGCTCACATCATGATCTCACAGTTTGTGAGTAAGAGCCTGGTGTCAGGGTCTGTGCTGACAGTGCAGAGCCTGCTTGGGATTCTCATTCTCTCTTTCTCTTTCTCTCTCTCTCTCTCTCTCTCTCTCCCTGCCCCTTCCCTGCTTGCGTGCGGGCTCTCTCTCTTTCCCAAAATAAATAAAGATTTTTTGAAAAATTCTAGAGACTATTATTTAAGTTATCCCACATATTATTTAAATAGATAGTTAACTATAACTTAACAATAGATATTATATAAATGAGATCATTATTAAAGTTATCCTACCTATTATCACTCTTTGCTTGTTAAACATGTTTTTTCAGGACCAGGTAACTCAGCATTCCCTAACCCCCCCTAAATGGAAAAGTTTTCCATGTTTGGTTACTGCTATCAGATTAATAGGGTTTCCCCATTTTCTAAATCCACAAGAGGAAACCAAGATCTCCATTTATCCTGAGGAAACTTGAGACAGAGAGGATGCTAATAATAAAAAGAAAAAAATGCCATCAAAGATACAAAAACAAAACAAAAAACCTCCTAACCTTTACATCTAGACCTTGGACAGAGGCTGTAATAAAAGTGAGTTTGTGCAGACTGAGTGTAGAAATAGGGCACGCAACCTACCCCTGAGGAAAGAATCATTATTGTGTTATGCCATCTTATCACTGGGGCAGCTTACAGAAATATGTACATGTCTATAAGGAATGAGATGCTCATCATATTATTAACACATAAATGAACAGATCAATAGAAGAGGACTATACATGGGCCAATGACAACACTGCCTCAGTTCTGTACACCTGGTGTCTACCTGGTGTCTAAAATCACAATTAGCACATGAATCAAAGTCAATTAAATGGATCATGAGATAAATCTATAGGTGTCGTCATAGAAAGATGCCACAGCATAATGTTAAAAAAAAATAAGGGCAAAGTCCACAATGATTTTCAGCATGACCCAATTTTTATCTTTGAAACTATACAATACAGTCACACAAAGCAATATGTGCACAGAAAAATCTGGAAGAATATACACTACAATTAAAATGATCTGTGGTGGAAAGTTCTCAAAGACTTTCACTTTCTATGTTTTGCATCCAGTAATGTCTTTATCTCAAGAGAAGTTTGTAAAGGGTTAGCTGAATGAACTTGGACAACAGGACTGTCAGGTCAAAGTGAAATTTTGGTTAATTTCAGAAGCAAGCAACGTCCCAAAGAACAACAGGCAGACTTGTCACAATGCATACTTGAAATAAATAAGGGACGCCTATGTGCTAACTATAATAAGCGTAAGGGATACCCATACTTCCGGCTCAGCCAAGACTCTGGCTCTGGTTCCAACATCAGGTACTAATGACTCAAGGCTGATAAATATTTACCTCCTCAGGAATTCCCCCAGTAAGGAATCAGCTAAAGAGAACACAAAATCCATCAGAAGGAGCCGGTAGATTTCCTGGCCAATGAGAGTTTCCCAACACTGTAAGGTAAACAAGAGTCAGGATGTGGGAAGGGGCTGTTGGTTCTGCCCAGTGCCCTTCTGGCACCCTACACTCATTAGGACATGGTTGCTGGCCAATGTGACTGGGTCCTCGTACATCCAGAAAAGCAGACCCACTCTGGGCAGGGACGCACCATTAATTTGTTGAGTTTGTTTTCAAGGGTGTTTATTCCTTTTCTGTGTTGCTTTTCCCCCATTAAAGCTTGCCCTCCACGTGCACCCCAAACTTTCCCTTCTCACTATCTCTCCTCTTTAAACTTTTCATCCCTGTCCTATGCCCTCTGGATCCCATTTCTCAGCCAGGGCTAGCAGAAGGCATCAATGGCAACAATGCCTTTACTCTTTGTTTATTAACCTTATGAAAATCCGTTAATACTTATTTGACTAAGAAAGAGGCTTAGAGGTTTAGCAGGCTGGCACAAATTGGAAGTCTGACTTAGTTCATGAAACTGGTGATCAATTACCTCTGCAGGAAGTCAGTGCTATGAACTGATGGACCGGGAGCTTTTAGATTTGGTTGAACGAGGAGAGGGATGTTTTGAGTGCACAGCCCAAGGATGGATGGATGGATGGATGGATGGATGGATGGATGGATGGATGGATGGATGGAAGGAAGAATATTATATCAACTCTAAGATCATGAGTAGAAATTCTGAGAAACCAGAGAAATTCACTTCCTCCCTGTATTCAAAGGTTAAGAAAAAAACTCGAGGCAGAACAGCACAGAAATCTCACCTCTTCACCAGCCTGGGCCACAATGTTGAGCCAATAGTAACAAAGAATTCCAATGATTGATATTTTCAGAAAGATGTTTCTAAATAACAGAAGAGAAAACAACTATTGTTACCTTCCATGACAGTCATTAGTACTGTTTGCTAATAATTCCTTTTGGTCAGATGGTAGGACTGAAATTCCCGCTCCCGTGTGGTTTGACTGGGGCCAATATGGCTAGTTCTGGCAAGTAATTTGTGAGCAGAAGTGATGTGTGTCACTTTGCGTCCTTCTAGGCTGGAGCACTGAAATGCCAGCGAGGCTCTCCAGAACTCACTGTCTTCCGTCTGGAATGGCCATCAGCAATATTTGAGACGGCTGCTGCTGTCAGCCTGGATCCCTGCACGAATGACATGACCAAAACCACCTGCCATCCACAGTGGACACATAATATGAGCAAGAACTAAATCTTTGTGTTCGAAGCCACTGAGATTAGGGAGATAGGGGATGTTTGTTACTGCAGCATAACCTATTTCAACTGATATACCCTCTTTCAGTGCATTCCAAACTATCTGATTTCGCTTCTCATTGTAATAATAATAAATGTACATACTTTTAATTGGGTGCTGAGCATGGGCAGTACACTGTGCTAAGAACCTCACTGAATCACCTTAATCTTCACAGCTTAATGTTTACAATTTTGCTGCCATTCTTACTTTCTACAACTCTGTCATCAGGTAGATAGAATTTTTATGTCTATCTTACTGATGAGGATACTGAAGTTCAGAGATGACACAACGTGTCCAAGGGCACACAGCTTGTGAGGGCCATGACAAAGACTGAAACTGAGGACCATCTCTTAAACCTAGTCACTTTGCCAAAGTCAATAGCTGCTGGTTTTAATAGGGCTTCAGCCCTGGTGTGCCAAGAACTGTGTACCACTAGACCAGGGGTTCTCAAAGTGTGTCCTCTGAACCAGCAGCATCAGCCTTGTCCGCAAACCTGCTAGAAAGGCAAATTTTCAGGCCCCACCCTAGACCTACTGAATCAGAAACCCTGGAGACAGGACCAAGAAATCCCTTCAGGTAATTCTGATGTATGCTGAAGGTTGAGAACCTTTGTGTTAGACTCTGAAGTTCCATGAAGGAAGGGCACTAGATCTCTAGATCTTTCTCAGTGCCAGATCCCCAATCTCTTGCCTAGTGCCTAGCCTGTGATACACCCTCACTGTCTACTGGATTAAGGCATCAGGAGACCTTTATTGCAGTGTAGCTTCAAGTTAAACTTGAAAACACACTCTTCTACGCTGAGAAAAATCTCATCTCAGATCAAAAAGAACCGTGTATTTCTGAGAGTTCCCATTTTCTCTTCATGCAAAGATTTTGAATATTTTGTTGAAGCTGTACAAAGGGCTGGTGTATATTAAAAGACAACTAAACTCTTAAATGATCAGAAAAACACAAAGAGGAAATTTATTGGTTCAAAATGGCCCACTGAGCATACATGTCTAACCACCTCTTCATCCAAATTCTCCAGATGAGGTTGGAGAGCTGGCCAGGAGCCAGATCTCCCAGGCCATAGAAGGCAAGGGCTCTGGAACTGATCAGTAAAGAAACTCAGTCTACATTGTACTGACCTGTTGTCATAAACACCATAAACAGGAACTGGTCAGGGAACTAGCCAGGAAGGAGCAAGGACAAAATTTGGGTTGTTTTATGCTTTGTTTATCGAAACCTTGGGGTCACCTCTAGCACAAAAAGGCACCCCCTCCCAGCCAACTAATTGCCAGAAGCACCCCTTCTACCTCCATTTGGGTGTCTGAATTACAAAAATGCACCTCTTGGGGCTCCTGGGTGGCTCAGTCAGTTAAGCATCCAACTTCGACTCAGGTCATGATCTCGTGGTTCACGAGTTCAAGCCCCGTGTTGGGCTCTGTGCTGACAGCTCAGAGCCTGGAGGCTACTTCAGATTCAGTGTCTCCCTCTCCCTCTGCCCCTCCCTACTTGTGCTCTCTCTCTCTCTCTCTCTCTCTACCTCAAAAATAAGTAAACATTAAAAGAAAATTTTTTTAATGCACCTCTTTCTCCCAGCTGAGGCAGTGGCTACCAAGGCTCACAGCTTGACTAATGCAAACGCTAGATGAATTTCAGTCCCTACACAACTCATCAGCCAGGCACCCTTCTGCAGTATACAACATGAACATCTGTACATCTCATAACTGAGAAAAACTATGAAAATCCTCAGGCCGATATCAATTTGGAAAGGTAAGCTATTACTCTGATCAAAAGACTGATGTACTTAATTGTATACCTGAGAGCGTTTTGGATTTTATGGCTATTAACCCACCCCATACAAACACACTTTATTCTTGAAATCCTTTCTGGAAAACAGAACTCTGGTACTCGAGCATAACCCTCTGTAGCTCCCACCTCACTTCCCTCCCTGGAAATACCGGCTGGTGGTGGGCGTGGCAGACACACCTACCGGATGAGGAGGATGTAGACTTCGCGCCTCGGCGTCTCATACCTCTCCACCAGCCTGAACAGGGAGTAGAGGCGTGGCGTTGCCAGGTTGATGCAGGACACGAGGAAAGGCAGTAACAGCACTGCTCCAGGGTTCTGGTGGTTCTTCAGGAACTGCAGGGGATGCAGGGAGAGAATCGAGATGCCAAACGTGCACGGAACTCCTCTCTGCCTCACGCAGAAGACCCCACACAATGGGGAAACCCCAGTGGTAGCTCCTCCGGGGTTAGCTCTTAGGCTACCGGTTATTGAGCACTTACCCTGCGCCCAGCAGGACCCACGTGATCACGTTTAATTCTCACTACAGACCAGCAGGTGGGTATTAATAGACTGACTGGCAAATGGAGGCTCAGAGAGGTAAAAATGCTTGCCTGGGGTCACCGAGGCAGATTTGAACTGGGTCCATCTGACTCAGGGGCCTGAACTCAAAACAGCCATTCTGTGACTTTACTGTCCTTAGCAAGAGGTCTGCAGCAATGAGAACGTGTTTCCTGGCTGTTGGAGCAAAAGCTTGAATCCGCGGAAGCTATAGCACAAGGGTATTGAACACTGCAGACTTTCTCCGCCTGTCTCCTGCGTGGCCCTGTTCATTTTCACCAGGCTTTTCTTGGGTGCTGAATCAGGGGAAAGGGAGCCTCTGTTAGCCCATGGCACACCTTCGTATGAGGTCCAAAGAGGCACCCCCTTCCTTCATGTGGATGCAACACCCTGGCACTTGGTTTGGAGTGGGGTGAAGGCTGCCCTCAGCTAGGAATCCTTGGAGTCAGGGATTCCAGTGGATTTATCTTCTGTCTCACACTACCTCCTTCCCACTCCTAGGCCTGACCCTGTCTCCCTTTATCTCTGGGTGGTTTCGAAAGCCCCACTTGCACTTTTGGAAGTATTTTTGTAGCCAGGGTAACCTGGGTTCAAATGTTGTCCCCTCTCCCATGCTTATGAGCTATAAGGTCTGAAGCCAGATGCATAGCTTCCCTGGGCCTCTTTTCCTGTCTGTGTAATGGGGAGATTATCATGTGACCCACAGAGTCATTGCAAGAATTAAATGAGGGGCGCCTGTGTAGCTCAGTCGATTAAGCTTCTGACTCGATTTTGGCTCAGGTCATCATCTCATGGTTCATGAGAATGAGATCAAGCTCAGAGTCGGGCTCTGCACTGACAGCGTGAAGCCTGCCTGGGATTCTCTCTCTCCCTCTCTTTCTTCCCCTCCCCTATTCATGCACACATAAGTGCATGTTCTCTCTCTCTCTTTCTCTGTTTCTCTCTCAGTTGATGCCCTAATTAAAAACAATAAAAGAATTGGGGCGCCTGGGTGGCTCAGTCAGTTGAGCGGCAGACTTCAGCTCAGGTCATGATCTCCTGTTTGCGAGTTCAAGCCCCACGTCGGGCTTGCTGCTGTCAGCCTGTCAGCACAGAGCCCGCTTCAGATCCTCTGTCCCCCTCTCTCTGCCCCTCCCCCACTTGCGCTTTCTCAAAAATAAATGAACATTAAAGTAAATAAATAAAAATAAAAGAATTGAATGAAACCAAATAAGGCCAGGTCTGGCCCCTCAACAACATAGGTGAGACATCATTCACAGAAGATTGTAGCTGCCCATGAATGTGACCCCTAGAGTTGTACAAAGGGTTGCTCCTGCCTGACATACAGCAGATGTTCAAACAATAGGCTCCACTTCTGCCTCCTCACCTCCTTAGCTGCCCTGCTTCACTTCAGGTGGGCGTGGAGAAAACCTTCCAGGTGAAGAAGAAACTCAGAAGGCTTCTTTATGCCTACAGCTGCCTGGTCACAATTTCTACCCTGGGTAGGCATTGCCAGGCCCTTAAGCACTGAGACTTAATTTCCCCTATTTGAGGGCACATCTCAACATGGTTAATGGCAAACTCTTAGTGTTATGTAATCCCACACCCATTTTCTTGCTGGCTTCTCCTTCACTTGTTCATCCATTTGGTTGTGCACCTACTATGTGTCAAATATTGGGCCTGGAGCCCAGCTACTGTCTTTTGAAGATACATAAAGATACCTGCATAAACAGGTATTTTCAATACTACACATGACAAGAGCACAGGGAAAGCTTGCAGAGTCAGGAGTGCCCAACACAGTCTAGTGAGGGTGGTGGGGGTGAGAGAAAATTTGCTGAGGAAACGGCACCATGCTGAGGTCTGGAGGAGGAGGAGGAGGGGGAGGAGGAGGAGGAGGAGGAGGAGGAGGAGGAATTTGCCCAATGAGGGAATTAGGGCAGGTTGGGTAGAGAATGAACTGCATGTTTTCCTACCGAGAGAAAAGGAAAAACATGGTGTGCTCAGGGAACTGTGGACACACCATTTAGTGTTGCTAGTGTAGGATATGGGTAGTTGTGGGGTGTTGAAGCTAGAGATGTGGGCAGGGATCAGATCATACAAGATCTGTCGATCATGCCATGGAGGATAAATTTATATCGAGGGTAAAAATAGGAAGTCATTAAAGAAAGTGAAATAATCCAACCAACCTGTACCACAATTCTAGAGGTCGGCAAACTGGCTACAATTAGTTCCATTTCCAGGGGAAAAGCTGAAACCTACAGAAAAACAGTACTTTGCCCAGACCATCCAGCTAATTAGTCTCAGAGTTTATATCATTTGCAAAAAAAAAAAAAAAAAAAGGTAATATTCCTTTATTAGTCACAATACTGGGCACAGAGTAGACTCTTCACATAACTTTTTTCTAGTCCTGACCACACACCTACAAAGCCAGGTACGATCATTCCTGGTTTGCAAGTGAGGAATCCAGAGCTCAGAAAGGTTAAATGGCTCACCAGAGTCCATCAGATCACAACACTTAGAGTGTCTGCTCAGTGCCAGGGGCAGTGGGAGGTGTTAGGAATATAATAATAAAGGAAGAAACCAAAACTTAATCCCATGTCTGCTGCCCAAAGTTCCCATCTCTCCACGGACCCAGAGCTTCTTACTCTGAAGCGTGCATACACATCACCAGGGGGCATTGTCAGGATACAGATTCTGAGGCTGTGAGCCCAGGCAGGGACACAAGATTCTGCATTTTTTCACAAGCTTCCGGCTGATGCCAGTGCTGCCCGCCACAGAGTCTGAGTTCAGTAGCAGCTCCATACCGCCTCCCTCCAGTATCTCATCCCTTCACCTGGTTTTGTGCTCGGGCCCCCAGTGTCCCTGCCCTTCTGGTTACCTCTGAGTTGTTCTCAGCCAGGTAATAAACAGCTACGCAGCAGGCAATGGCCACTCCAGTAGAGACGACCCAGGCTGCCAGGTGGGCCAACATGTGGATCAGCTGCTGACTGAGCGTTAACTTGACATTCTCCTGACGGATTTCGGACAGGTTTTCCTATACACACAAGGAAGTCAGGTCGGCCTACAGTACCCTATCACCTGTTAGCAAAGACTCAGCAGGTGAATCTCGGCCACTCTGAGACACAACCCACCCCAGATCCACAGGAGAGAGAAAGGGGGAAGTTCATGATGGACGTGGACTATGAGAGACTCATGGGGAAATCTCAAATGGACCAAGAACCTCTATCACTGTGCCAAACACCTTTTCCATCTTAGAGAAACAGGCCCAACAGAGTGGGACTATGCTCTTGAGGAAAGCACTTTGAGGTGTCAAGAAACTCTTTTTTGAAGAATAAGGCTGGGTATCTACACCAACGAATTTAACATCTTCAAACCTCTTGTCAAAGTCTCTTTGCTTACAAATTATTCTCCCTCTCTTTTTTTTTTTCCTATTATGTATCCCTCCACCCACGTCCCCTCTATCAACATCCAGTTTGTCCTCTGTATTTAAGAGTCTGGGGTTGGGTATATTTGTTTCTGATTTTCTCTCTCTCTTTTTCTTTCTTTTTAGTAAGTTTTTTTCTATAGACCAGGGTTTCTCACCCTCGGCATTATTAACATTTTCAGCCAGTAATTCTGTATTGTGACAACTCTCCTGTGCACAGCAGGATGTTTAGCAACATCCAGTAGCACCCTCCCCCTAACTGTGACAATCGAAGTCTCTAGATATGGGGTGCCTGGGTGGCTCCATCAGTTAGGCGTCTGATTTCAGCTCAGGTCATGATCTTGTAGTGTGTAGGTTCAAGCCTCACATCAAGCTCTGTGCTGACAGCTCAGAGCCTGGAGCCTGCTGCAGATTCTGTGTCTCCCTCTCTCTCTGCCTCTCCCCCGCTCATGGTCTGTGCGTTTCTCTCTCAAAAATAAATAAACATTAAAAAAAAATAAAAAGTCTCCAGATATTACTATATGTCCCCTGAGGGGCAAAAACTGTTGTGAGTTGAAAAGCACTGTAGGTGGGGCGCCTGGGTGGCGCAGTCGGTTAAGCGTCCGACTTCAGCCAGGTCACGATCTCGCGGTCCGTGAGTTCGAGCCCCGCGTCGGGCTCTGGGCTGATGGCTCAGAGCCTGGAGCCTGTTTCCGATTCTGTGTCTCCCTCTCTCTCTGCCCCTGCCCCGTTCATGCTCTGTCTCTCTCTGTCCCAAAAATAAATAAACGTTGAAAAGCACTGTAGGGGCGCCTGGGTGGCTCAGCTGGTTAAGCATCCAACTTCGGCTCAGGTCATGATCACATGGTTCATGGGTTCAAGTCCCGCATCAGGTTCTCTGCTGTCTGTACACAGCCCATTTCAGATCCTCTGTCTCTCTCTCTCTCTCTCTGTCCTTCCCCAGCTCGCATGTGTGCTCTCTCTTTCATAAATTACATTTTTTAATTAAAAAAAAAAAAAAGAAAAGTTACAGACATAGTAAAGGAACTTAGCTGTGGGAAGGTGTTGTATAAAGCAAGCCTGCCTTACCCTTATCTCCGTGCTAAGATTCTTCTGTTTCAACTTGACAGCTCTTTCATGAGTGACGGTGAAGTCCCAGCAGAATATAAGTTTAGTGATCCCTCTGGAGTAGATGTGAGGGTTAATGAAGTTGTTCCGGAAATACCTGGCCATGCTAGGGAAGGCAGAAACCAAAATACTCAAGTGTTATTGAAACAGGCATTGGGGAGTGCAAGAATTAAACAAAGGGGAGTCCTACCATTAACCGGGACAGGCAACATGGAACAGTCAACCTCAGGTTCTACTGGAACAGTGCGATCACAAACATAATGGTTAAGACCACTGGCTTCAAGATCTCATAGGTCTGTCTTATAATCCTGGATTGCCAGCTGGGAGATCTTTGTTATTTTAACTGCAATGAGCCTCAGTTTCCACATCTATATAATGGGGATAATAATAGTACCCACCCACAGAGTTTATATGAGAGTTATATTAGTTTCCTCTAGCTGCTGTACCAAACTGTCCCAAACTTAAGTGGCTTAAAACAACACATGTCTACTTATTCTCTTACTGGAAGTCAGAAATCAGAAACTGTTTCTAAAATCAAGGTGTCAGCAGAGCTGTGTTCATTCCTATCCTTCAGCAGGAAATGTGTTTCCCTGCCTCTTCCAGCTTCTAGAGGCTGCCTGCATTCCTTGGCTGATGGTCCCTCCTGTCTTCAAAGCCAGGAGAGCTGCAGCTTCCATTCTGTCTGACCTTGACCTTCCTGCCTCCCACTTACAAGGACCCTTATGAATAACTGGCCCATTTTAAGATCCTTAACTCAGTCTCATCTACAAAGTCCCTTTTGCCAGGTAAAGTAAGATATTCACGGGTTCTGGGGATTAGGACTTGGACATCTTTGGGAGGCGGGGGGAATTGTTCAGCCAACCACAAGAATCAATGTAGTGGTTAGAACAGTAAGCACTTGATAAAGGCAGATGCTAATATCATGGAGACGTCAGCAGGACTCAGTGAAATCAGCCGAGGAAGCACTCAGCACTGAGCCTGGCATGTAAAAAGTGCTGAGTCAATACCTTTCCAAAATTTGCCACCACTAACAGTAGCTTTAGGAACTTTTCCTGGTTTGATAGGACAAAACGAAATCTCATTTTACTCTGAATTGTGTGCTGGCAGTGAGGTTGTTACAGGCTGAACTATACACTCTAAAAACTCCTATGCTGAGAGCATAACCCCTAACCCCCTAACCTTCAGAAAGCAACAGTATTTGCAGATAGGATCTTTAGAGAGGCAATTACATTAAAATAGGTCATCAAGGCGGGCCCTCATCCAATATGACTGGTGTCTTTATAAGAAGAGAAGATTAGGACTCAGACATGCACTGAGAAAGACCCTGTCAGGTCACGGTGAGAAGGCAGGCATCTATAAGCCACAGGGAAGCCTCGGAAGAAACCAACCCTGCCAGGACCCTGATCTTACACTTCTAACCTCCAGAACTTGAGAAGATATATTTCTGTTGTTTAAGCAACCCCGTCTGTGGTACGTTGTTATGGAAGACAGAGGAAAGGTCCTAGGAAGACCTAGGAAAACGAATACAAAGGTTGAACATCTGTACCTCCTCTTTGACAGTTGTCAAGGGACAATTGCCTATCCATGCCCTTCCTTCCATATAACTAGTGGGGTCACTGCATCCCTATTTTCAGACTGACCAATTTCCTTGAAAGCACACAAAAACCTCTCTTCTTTATCCAAACTTACAGTTTGTGTTATAAAACGGGAATGCTCAGACAGCAATAGAAAGTCAAAATTGCAGAGAAACTGTTTCCTGGGGAACTTTTCAGTCTCTTGAATTTTACCTAAATCCAAAATGAGCTTAGGATCGAGAAATGCAGATACTCCATACCTAAATAGCAAACTGAAAAAACAGACAATCAAACATGCTCCGATTGTGAAGATGTAGGCCAGCTGCATGTTGTAGGGTGCCCCACTGCTCCCGTGTTGGACCGTAGAGTTGGTGTAAAAGCCATAGTACATCACTGTGTCCTGAAAATAACCCTGAAAGAGGCAAGAAGCCAGAGGTCAGGTGGGTCTCTTGAGAAAACAATGACAATGGTCAGCACCCTTCACCTTTTCCATCTGCAAGAAACTTGCATCAGTCAGTTTCGACATTTTGTTGGCAGGGCACCCAAGGTCACTGAGAACGTAGACGTTTGGGGGCACCTGGGTAGCTCAGTCAGTTAAGAGTCTGACTTCAGCTCCGGTCATGATCTCACAGCTCATGGGTTCGAGCCCGGCATCGGGCTCTGTGCTGAAAGCTCAGAGCCTGGAGCCTGTTTCGGATTCTGGGTCTCCCTCTCTCTCTGCCCCTCCCCCACTCGTGCTCTGTCTCCCTCTGTCTCAAAAATAAATAAACATTAAAAAAAAAAAAAACATAGTCGTTTTATCACTAGGCTCTTTGAGTTGGGAAAGGACTCTCAAACCCTCCTTACAGTGGAGGGACCCAGGTGTCACCACCTGAACCCAGTGACCAAGCAAAGCATGACTAAAACCAGGACAGCCAACCATGATGGGCCTCTGTCATCTTAATATGACCATGTTAAGTATTATAGTCAAACATGTTTGATATGAAACAAATCAAGCTGTTAGGTCTAAATTGCAATTTATAGGAAATACGGGCCAGAGGAACAAGTCAGAGAGACTATAAGGAAACAATTGATTCCACAAGGTAGGATGTTGGAGTTTGTATGACAACTGGCCTGGTTTCTGCAACAAGCCAATGTCAAGAAAAGAGAGGGCTGTGTCTGGAGAGATCATTCTTTTTTTCTTATTTTTTATTTAAAAAAATTTTTTTAATGTTTTTATTTATTTTTGAGACAGAGAGAGACAGAGCATGAGCAGGGGAGGGGCAGAGACAGAAGGAGACACAGAATCTGAAGCAGGCTCCAGGCTCCGAGCTGTCAGCACAGAGCCTGATGCGGGGCTCAAACTCATGGACTGTAAGATCATGACCTGAGCTGAAGTTGGCTGCTTAACTGACTGAGCCACCCAGGCGCCCCTGGAGAGATCATTCTAGATTAATTGCAAATTCAGAGAAAAAGCAACTGAATGCAAACTGGGGCTTTAATTGGATCCTGGTCTGAACAAACAAGCTATGAAAGACATTTTGGGGACCACTGGGAAGATTTTAATATAGTCTGGATTTTTAATGATATTTTTAATTTTGCTAGGTGTGATAACTGCAGAAAGTGTCCTTATTTTGCAAAGATGCATGTTGAAGAAATTTGGAGTAAAATGTCCTAATGTCTTTAATTAACTGTGAAATGCTTCCAAAAAATAGTAAGATAAAACAATGTGGCTAAACGTTAACAATTTAGAAACCTGCATAGTAGGCATATGAGTGTTCATTTACTACTCTTTATTTCCTGTATGTTTGAAATTTTTCATAATAAAATGTTACATATATACAAATATAAAAAATACAGATCAGGGTGCCTGGGGGGCTCAGTTAAACGTCCAACTCTTGATCTCAGCTCAGGTCATGATCTCACGGTTCATGGGTTCGAGCCCTGCATCCAGCTCTGTGTTGACAGCATGGAGCCTTGCTTGGGATTCTCTCTCTCTCTGCCCCTCACCTGCTTGTGCTTTATCTCAAAATAAGTAAATAAACTTTAAAAAATAAAGCCCTAGGGGCACCTGGATGGCTCAGTCGGTTAAGCGTCTGATTTTGGCTCAGGTCATGATCTCGCAGTTTTTGAGTTCAAGCCCCGCATCAGGTTTTGTGCTGACAGCTCAGAGCCTGGAGCCTGCTTCAGATTCTGTGTCTCGCTCTCTCTCTCTGCCCCTCCCCTGCTCATGCTCTGTGTCTCTCTGTCTCTCAATTATAAGTAAATGTTAAAAAAAATTTTTTTAAATAAAAATAAAAATAAAAACAAAGCCCTAAAAAATAAGTTAATTAAATTAAAAATGTACATCACAACAAGGAGAATGAAAGTAAATGAGGAAGAAATTTACATAATAATAATTCTCACTTAATGCACTTAACACAAGGGAGAATTTTTAACAGAAAAAGAAATTTAAAAAGATAAGTGGGAGAACTTGATTTTGAACATTCTACTTCAAGAGTCGGCAAATTTTTTTCTGTGAAGAGCTAGATAATAAATATCTGGCTTGGTAGCTATAGCAACAACTCCACTCAGCCACCGTAGCAGGAAGGCATCACAGACACCTAAACAAATGGATGTGACTGAGTTCCAGAAGGACTTTATTTATGGACACAAATTTGAATTTCACGTATAATTTTCATGTTTCACAAAATGTCATCCCTGTTTTGATTTTTTTTCAACCATTTAAAAATGTAGAAACCAATCTTAGTTCATTGGCTGTACAAAACTAGGTGGCAGGCCAGATTTGGCCCCAGCTATAGTTTGTCAGTCCCTGGTCTACAGAATACTAGTGGCAGAAATCTCTTCTAGAAGGTAAACTCACAAGGCAGGGGCTATAAGTGTCAATAGGGAGATGGGTAAACAAATTATAGCTGCTGTTAAAAAGAATACTATGGACTGGGACGCCTGGGTGTCTCAGTCGGTTAAGTGTCTGACTTTCGCTCAGGTCATGATCTCACAACTAGTGAGTTCGAGCCCTGAGTCCAGCTCTGCGCTGACAGCTCAGAGCCTGGAGCCTGCTCCGGATTCTGTGTTTCGCTCTCTTCTACCCCTCCCCCACTCACGCTCTCTCTTTCAAAAATAAATAAATATTTAAAAATTAAAAAAAAAGAGTAGTGTGGATCTATATAGATGCTCAAGATACATAGTAAAACAAAAAAAAAGTTGCAAAAACCTGTAGTATCCTGTTTTCTTTAGGAAAGAAGAAGGAAGAAAAACAGTGGACAAAGATAGGCTCTAAGCTAGACCATTAGACAAGGGAAGAAGACTAATGTGGACCTTCACCTAATTTTCTCTCTTTTACAGTAGCAACTTTTCCCCCCTCTGTCTCTGCCCCTCCCCTGCTCTCTCTGTCTCTCAAAAATAAATAAACATTTTTCAAAAAATTTACAGTAGGAACTTTTCAAAAGGAGCGTTGTATTTTGTACAAAGAAAAAGAAAAAAGAAAAAAAAGGTAGCTCTACAAACACCAATATGACATATCCACCACAGAGCAGATGAAAGGAAGTGAGTCATAGGTGGTATATGTGAATGATTCATCTTTTGTTAAAAAACAAAAGAAAGTAGAAACAGAAGAAAGGGATGTATATGTACACGTATACATGTGTCTGTGTGTGCACAGAAAAGGAGATGGTGAACAACACAAACTATTAATATGACTACCTCTAGAGACAGAAAGTCTCCTGTGTTGTGTATATGTTACTTTTAGGGAAAAAAAGAAACACATTTCCAAGTCCCACTTTGCCTATCAGTTGACTCCCAGGCAAAATGAGGGGTCTGGAAGGTATGTCTGGGGGTTTCTGAGTTGGTGGATTTCCAGGTGGGGGGAAATGGAGAACTTACCGCTCCAGTGAAAAATTCCAATCCGGTGAATTGGAGGGTGTTCTTTTCAGGCACAGTAAACTGAGGGATGATGATGAAGCTGAAGGTCACGATGAACGAGAAAATGTTGAACTTCAAAAGCCATCTCAGAAAGTTAAAATAGGAGAGGACGCTCGTTCCAAACTTGCCTCCAATGACCTTGAACGTCTTCTGCCATAGGCTGATGTAACTGAGCAGTTCTGACAGGCTGTTCTTAGATCTACGGTAAGCCTGGGGTAGGGGCACAAAGCATGTGGTAGACAGTCACTCAACAAACACCTATGAGAAGGTCCCATCCTAGCAAAAACGGCCACTATTTCCAGAGCGTTAGAACGTGCCAGGCATGCGCTCAGCGTGTTTGCAAACGTTATCTCATTTAATCTGACAGGCCACTCTTCCAGGTGAGTGCTATTATTCTCGTATTATTATTTTCCTATATTATTATCCTATATCCCAGGTTTGCTGTTGAAGGTGACGTTCACAATAGCTATGCTGTCCAAATAACTCAGCAACCTCTTATACACCTTTGCATGCCCACCTGGTTTCTCTGCACCTAGACCAACCCAATTTCTATGGCTTTCAATGAAACAGCCCTGAATTTTGGTTCCTCTTCCCCTTGGGTACCTTTCATCCCACTCTGCAAGGGGTACCTTTTTACCCCTTATCATGCCCATTTTGTTGACTGCAATAAAGGCCTCTTACCTGTGAAACGGAGTTCAGACACTGAGCACAGCAGTTGAACTCAAGGATACGGTGGGATTGCTTACTTTTCTCTTTGTCAACCATTTTCCTGTGGGGAATGCCAGAAGAAAGGGAGAGATACCAATGCCGTAATCGCTGCATTCCCCAAATATTTACTGAGTGTCTATGGTGTACTAGGCACAACCCAGGTAGTGAGACAAAGAGAATGATTTCCCTGCCTCATGGAGAAGATATCCTAGTTGGAAGGGAAAGACAATAAAGAAACGGTGATTTATACTATGGAAAGAAAAAGGGAAATAGAACAGGATAAGGCGATGGGAAATACTGGGATGGGGACTGTGTTATAATTTGAAATAGCATGATATTTGAGCAAAATCTTGAAGGAGGGGAGGGGTTAGTTGTATGGATAAGGGACTGCTCCGTGGCAGAGGGAACAGCCAACATGAGACCCCCAAGGAGGCCAGGATGGCTGGAATGGAAACAGCAGGGGGAAGGGCAGAGGGTACGAGTGATAACTGTTGCAGGGGGAGGCGGAAGGGTCCTATAAGTCATCACCCTTGAGTGGTTCTCAACCTAGGGAGATTTTGCCCCCAAGGAACAATTTGGCAAAGTCTGGAGACATTTTTGATTGTCAAAAATCTAGGGGAGAGAGATTTGCTATGACCTCTAGTGGGTAGAGACCAGAGATGTGCTAAACCCCCTACAATAAACTGGACAGTCCCCCACAACAGAGAATGATCCATCCTCCAATATCAGGCATACTGGGGTTGAAAAATCCTGCTGTAAAGTCTTTGGGGCCTTGTGAGGGGAATAAGGCCTTATTCCATGACAGAGGCAGGCATGCAGAGTTTGAAATGGAAGACTGTAGGGGCGCCTGGGTGGCTCAGTCAGTTAAGTATCTGACTTCGGCTCAGGTCATGACCTCAAGGTTGGTGAGTTCAAGCCCCGTGCTAGGCTCTCTGCTGTCAGTGCAGAGCCTCCTTTGGATCCTCGGTCTCCCTCTCTCTCTGCCCCTCCCCTGCTTGTGTGTGCACACATGCACACTCTCTCTCTCAAAAATAAAATAAAAACATTAGAAATGGAAGAGTGTTTTTTAAAAGATCCAGCCACAGTTGGCATCTTTACCTTTCCATGAATTCACCGCAGCTACTTTGCTCTGGTCCTTTCCCGGTTTTCTTTATACACCCAAATGCCCATCCCCACACCATCATCTCCACAGCTTGGTCCACATGGCCTCCTGCTTTGCCCAGGCAGTCTGTATCACTCCAGCTAGTCCTGTCACTGCATTCTCCTCTACCTTGACTTGGCCTGATTTCCTCTTTCTCATGTGTACGTTTCTTGTTGACAAATTCATCTCCGCTGTCAGACTTTGCAAGTTATCTTCGCAACCCCAGAACAAATGCATTATTGACTTATTTATTAGCAATTGTTGCATCCACTCTCCTAGTTTCTGCCAAGATGACAAGTTGCAAAAGAAAAAGGCCGTGGGGCACCTGGGTGGCTCAGTCGGTTAAGCAGGCGACATCAGCTCAGGTCACAAACGTGAGTTTGAGCCCCACATTGGGCTCTGTGCTGACAGCGCAGAGCCTGCTTCCGATCCTCTGTCTCCCTCTCTCTCTCTCTGCCCCTCTCCGGCTCACATACTCTTTCTCTCTCTTAAAAATAAACATAAAAAAAAAAGAAAAAGGCTGAAGAAAAGTAAATGTGAAGTAGTCTGAAGCCTAAAACAGCCCTCACTCTTTCACTATTGTTTTTTTTTTTAATTCTTAGCCTTAGGAAGCTTTTGAGGTCTCCTCCTCCTCCTCCTCCTTCTTTTTGTAAACTTTGAACTTTAGAGTAATTCAAGATTTGTAGAAAAGTTGAAAAAACTACAGAAAATTCCTATATGCTACTCACCATTTTCTCCTATTAACATCTTACATTTCCGTCATAGTTTGTCAAAATTAGAAACCAATGTTAGCATACTACAATTACCTAAACTTCACACGATTCTGATTTCACTCATTCTTCCATGAATGCTGTGTTCTATTCCAGGATCCCATGCCACATTGCATTTAGTTGTCATGTCTCTTTAGGATCCTCTAGTCTGCTTGATTTGGCTCAGGTCATGATCCCAGGATCGTGGGATCAAACCCCAAGTCAGGCTCCATGCTGAGCGTGGAGCCTGCTGAAGATTCTCTCTCTCTCCTTCTGCCCCTCCCCCACTCATGCTCACTCTCTCTAAAATAAAAAAAATTAAAAAATTTTGAAATTAAAAAAAAGAATCCTCTAGTCTCTGACAATTTTTCAGACTTTTTTTTTTTTTTTTAAGTTTACTTATTTACTTTGAGAGACAAAGAGAGATGGGGAAGGGCAGAGAGAGAGAGAATTCCAAGCAGACTCCACACAGTGTGGAGCCCGATGCAGGGGCTCAGACTCATGAACCATGAGATCATGACCTGAGTCAAAATGTAGAGTCAGATGCTTAATTGACTGAGCCACCGGGGTGCCCCAGACTTCCCTTATTTTTAATGACCTTGACAATTTTGAGGCGTACTGGTCAGGTATTTTGCAGAATGTCCCTCTATTAGGGGTTGTCTGATTTTTTCCTCTGGTGACACTGGGGTTACAGTCTTTAGGAGAGAATACCACAGAGGGAATGTGCTCTTCTGACCACATATCTCTGGCAATGCTAACCTTGATCGCCTGGCTGAAGGGGAGTGTAAACTAGACCTCATCACTGGAACGTTTCTGTCCCTTGCTTTTCATACTCCACCCTTTCAAAGCACATCACTAAGCATAGCCTGCTCTCCTGCTGAGAGGACAGAGGAGTATCTATACAGATTATTTGGAATTCTTCTGTAGCAAGACTGTCCTTTCTCTTGAATTTATTTCTTATCTTATCTTTCTGAGATGGGGCAAAAGTAGAAGACTGAGGTTCACATGAAATCTGGGAAAGAAGAAAAGCTTTGGGTCCATACTTAAGGTTCCTTTTCTCTTCCATGGTTCTTGGCTGACTCCTGATGGCTTTAATTCTGTCTCTAGAGGTCATTGGTATCAAAGATGCGATTAACTTTTGTCCTGTGGAGGAAAATAAATGGAGTTTCAGTCTGTTTCTTTCACAGAATATCAGCATTTCAAAAGATAGCACCGAACTTAGAGTATGTTTTTATAAGGGCACAAGGAAAGAATATATGGACTCAATGATCTCAAAAGCCAGAAATGAAAAGAAAATGGCAACATGGCGTATTTCTCAAAGTCAAACAAATGATAATGTTTGTATGCAACATTTGATATTTTCCTTTTTTCCAATGACAAGAAATATCCAATGAAGCCAACAAGCCCCTGCACATCTGGTCAGGCTCACTGTCCTCCCTCACTTGATTGCCTGCACCATTTTCTCTTGACCCCTGTACTCTAGGCACAGGCATCTTATTTACATTAAAAAAATTTTTTTTAATGTTTTTTCATTTTTGAGAGAGAGAGAGCACAAGAGCAGGGAGAGGGGCAGAGAAAGAGAGAGGGAGGGAGACACAGAATGTGAAGCAGGCTCCAGGCTCCGAGCTGTCAGCACAGAGCCCGATGCGGGGCCCAGGCTCATGGACCTCGAGATCATGACCTGAGCCGGAGTTAGACGCTTAATGGACTGAGCATTATCTTGTTTACATTTCTTGACTGTTGTCATATATGCTCTTCTGCCTCCTGGAACGAGTCCCCCATCTTCTCAGTATCATCAGATACTGCTGGCCATCTACCCAAGTTATCTCTCCTTTTTAAAAGAATACGGATTTTGTTTGGGAATCTACCCCCTCTGTCCCAAGGCCCTGAGCTTCTGCAGGGTGGGACCCATCTTCAGGCACAGGGCATGAGTCCCATGATTTCAAACTGATTGTTGCAGGTGACTGATTTAGGCATGAGCATGTAACAAGATGTTGGCCAATGTTCTGCGATGCACGGTCTGCTGAGGAGTTTCTTGGAAAAGGCTTCTTCCTTCTCAAAAAGGAAAAAACAAAAACAAGAAAAAGACAGATTCTTCTTCCTCTGGATGTTGTTGTGGCCACATGTGAAGCCTGGAACTGCTGTCACCATCTTGTAACAATGAGGAAGCCAGTTGGGGGACTACCACTGGGGTAACAACAGAATGGTCTGGCTCCCTGGTTGAGTTATGGAGCTGGAACTCCACAATTGACCTAGTTGGGGTGAAAAGGAAATCCCCAAAAGAGGGCCACCAACTCACTCTGCTGAAGACAAGGAATTTGTGTCTCTCCTGAGAGGGATGGGGGGCTAGACAGAGAGGAAGAAAGGACTAGGAGGAGGAGGAAAGAACACAGTGATGTGAGGAGACAGCAGCATGAGAGGAGACACCCCAGTCTTCAATAAAGGGGCTAAACCCACAAAATGCTTTAGTGAGAATGGATTTTTTCCCCTCTTAGAAATCACTGACAATGCCTGGACTTCATGACTGGAGCATTATGAGATGAAACAGACACAAGCAGCTGAGAAACCACTGTTTGGCCTCAGGAGCAGAAAGGCAGGGAGACAGTATCAGCTAAGACCTGGTGTCATGGCGGACTTGGCAATAAGGGCCATCCTATGTTGCCAAATCCAGGGTGGGGAGGAAATGGACTAAAGCAGGACAGCAGTTAAGGCATCAGGCCAGACAAACCTGTATTTGGGCCCTGGTTCTGCCAGGTCATTTAATTCCTCATCAAGCAAATGGAAGCGACAAATGTGCCAGCCTCAAAGTGTGGGGAATAAGTAAAACTAAATTTGATGGGAAAAAAAGGAAGTGCTTGGCAGACTGCCAGGCACAGAAAGTGAGCTTGGGGGCAGAGGGGGGGGGGTGCTGCCTGAGTGGCTCAGTCAGTTGAGCGTCTGACTTCAGCTTATGCCATGGTCTTGCAGTTCTTGAGTTCGAGTCCCACATTGGGCTTGTTGCTGTCTGCACGGAGCCAGCTTCGGATCCTCTGTTCCCCTCTCTCTGCTTCTCCCCCACTTGTGCTCTCTCAAAAATAAGTAAACTTTAAAAAAAATAAGAAGAAAGAAAATGAGCTTGGTCATGGTAAACTCCTTTTTAGGTGTTAGGTGCTCCCAAAGTGACCCCTTCCTGGGTCCATCCGTAGCATGCTTAGATCATCTACCAAACTTCAACCTATTTCATGTCTTAAAAGTAAAAAACCTTGTGGACAGCTTGGAGGCCTTCCTCATGCCCTTGCTAACTCCTTTCCCCCAGTGTCTCACCACCTTGAATGTTTTCATGTGAAGTGTCTATGCCCACACTTCCTGGGCTATGATGAAGGGTCTGAAGAAATGATTCATTCAAAGATGTGGAAAACTTCAACAACTGCTTGCTCTTTTTGTCATCTGGGTTGCCAAAGCTCTGAGAGTCTGTCACATCGATGTCAGAAATGGATGAGACCATACTGAAGCTTGAGTTCACTGGTGTCTTTTCTGGAAAAACCCGAGATGGAACATTCTCTGCCTCGACAATGATTTCATTCAGTTGGTCATCAGAAAACATCTCTTGCCTCCTCCAAGGCTTGTTCTCCCCTGGAGTGGCCTTCCAGAGACCTCATAGAGCAGTCACACTGACATCGTCAGGAGCCACCAGGAAAAATGATGATGATCACAGAGGGATGCCCCATTCACACTTTTTAAAAGACAAGGATGAGATTGCCAAAGCCAGTCCTACACAAATCATAACATAACTCTCTACATCTGCACAGAGGGGTCTCCTCATAAAGAGGTGTGTTTTCCTGTAGGACTTCTGTCTTGGTAACTAGGTAAGAAATTGGAAACAGAATCCTTCATTAAAGACAATAGGGTTCTAGAAACAGAAGGCAGAGATTCTTCTAAGTGACTCATAATCAAAGGGCAAGATTTTCCTTTTTTAATTTGGTGCCCTGGCCTAAAACTTATATTTTATATGTATATAATTTTATCTGCCTATATAAATCCAGACAGGTTTACAGTAATACAATTAATGGGGCATCTGGATGGCTCAGTCATTTGAGTGTCTGACTCTTGATTTCTGCTCAGGTTGTGGAATTGAGCCCTGTGTGGGGCTCTGTGCTGAGCATGGAGCCTGCTTGGGATTCTCTCTTTCTCTCTCTCTGCCCCTCTCCCCTGCTCATGCATGCACTCTCTCTCAAAAAAAAAATTTATAGTAATATAATTATTATCTCCTGACTGCCTTGGGTAGCCAACCCTGCCATTTGTCTGCCTCCTCATATCCGCCCTCCATTTTTCCCATACCCCCAGAAGCCACCTTTCCTGTGTAGGCACTGTGCTCAGTTAAAATTCTCCTGGCTTCCTTTGTGGTTAAAGATGGACTTGTAACCCCATTCTGGCCAGTGAGTCATAGAGCTCCAGGAATGCTTTTCAAAAGGTGACAGTCTGCCTAGTTTCACCTTTTACCTTTCATCATTTTTCCTTCTTCCTCACCAGAGGCCACCATTTTGAAAACAAGAGGACAAATGCTCACCTGAGAAGGATGGTGGAGAAAGAAGGTATAGAAAGAGCTCAGTCCTTGAGAGCATCCTGACAGAGCTGCCACACAAACTGTGAACCCCTCCCCTCCACACTTCTTGTTACATGAAAAAAAAAATTGCTAAGCCGTGCTATGTCAGAACAAGGCACTTGAACACGATTTCTACCCAATAGACCTGATTTGGAAATCACCTCGGCCAAGTTGTTTATTTAATAGTTGGGGAAACTGAGGTGCACAGAAATGAGTTGACCCCCCACCCTGACTGCCGTCTTCAACACACTTTCATTAAATGACAGAATTGGACCGGAACTCTATTCCTCCTCCCCACCAATGATAATTAACAGTAAGAATACCTGCCATTACTGTAGGCCCAGTACTTAAAATAGAGTATATAATTTAATTTTCATAATCACCCTATGCAGTATATACAACGATAAACCCCTTTTATAGCTAAGAAAACTGAAGCCCAAAGATGTAATTTGCCTAAGGTTACAAAACAAGCAAGTAGGAGAACTGAAGGTCAAACCCAGGTCCATCTAGACCCAAAGCAGGGCGTCTTAATCACTTTGTCCTGGCCCCTTCCTGTAACAAGATGCTGATGTATCATTTATTCATTTATAAATAAATGAACATTTGTGAGTACCTACCACATGCTGGGTGCTTCCTGGGTGCAAAGCATAACCCATCAAAGTGATGTTTTATCAGGAGGCTGTCCACCAACTAATTGTATGTGGTTTGAGAATCCAAACCAATGCAAAGCAAAATGATGAAGAAAACCAGATTCATCTTTGGGCCCTCTATTTCTTTAATTCTCTCTGCCTTCTGGGACTCTTCTTTTACCAGAGGCCCCAACCTCAGGCTGGCTAGAAAGAGCAGGCCAGTGAAGTTAGAAGCTATTCCTTTTCCCCAGTAGTTAAAGTCATTTTCTGCTCTAGTGGGAACCAAATGGAGAGTGTGATTGTCTATACCTCCATGGTTTTCCTCCCAAGTAGCCATACTCAATCCTCGAGGATATACCCCTCCTTGAGAAGGCTCCTAAAGAACGACGCTAAATGCTGCCATATAGGGTAGGGTGCCAGAAGGTGAGACATGGTTTTAGGTCATGAGGTCCTTGAATGCACATTATTGTACAGAGGATCCCATCGGTCTGTTTACTTCTTGTTGTTCACAGATTTGCCTCTTAGCATTCCCTGGCCTCTCTCTTCTGTTGTTTCCTTTTAGTTTCTCAGTCTCTGCCTCTGATCAGACCTTCATCACTGCACACAGTGATCCTTACAGAGCTTCCTAACCGATTTCATAGCATTCTGTCTTTCCCCAGTCCTACTGCTCCTACACTCTAGCATCATATATAATTATATGATTATTCAGAAAAATTTTGATCAATGCAGACTCAGAGGCCCTTGTTCCTGTAACTCATTCACCAATTAACTCGACAAATAGCTCTGAGCATTTACTATACGTCAAGCTCTATACTAGGTCCTGGAAGGTAATTCTACCTTCAATTCTTTGTTTCTTCCCTGTCCTTCCCGCCACACAAGCTGGTACATACACTTTGGGCCCATGTGAGTTGGGTTTCTGTCACATGAAACCAGAAGAGTCCTGATGAAGGTATCTTGATATCCAGGAGAGAAAAAAGTCTGCATATCTAAAAGGAAACCCCGTTATAGTAAATTAAGCAAATACTGCATCGGTTGCCACACCAGCGGCCAAAAGGAAATGGCGATGTCTGTATTGCCTTGAACACACTCCTCTCTAAGGTTGATTTTTTTGGTTACTATTCATGTAAGCCTTACCTTGGGGTGACTTGTGCCAGTCACATCCAGACAATGGCGGGTTTCCATAAACTGGGCGGGCGTTACTTTCACCCACAGAAGCAGGGTTCACTGGAATGAAGGGGCAGGAGACATCACCAATTAATCCCACCACACTAGATCTTACTGAGTAGGATGGTCAGTAAGACCTCAACCTTGACTTCGAGATCCTGACAGACTAACGATTGAGGGCTTGGGTGGAAAAGACGACATACATATGGAATCGATGCTGTTAAGTACAAACAGCTTTGATCAGTGGTTCTCATTTAAGTACAAGCCATGGTTAAAAATACTTGTTACAATGGAATATTACTCAGCCATAAAAATGAATGAAATCTTGCTATTTGCAACAACATGGATGGATCTAGAGGGTATAAAGCTAAGCGAAATAAGTCAGGCAGAGAAAGACAAATACTGTATGGTTCTACTCATATGCAGAATGAATTTAAGAAAGAAACAAATGAGTAAAGGAAAATAAGAGAGAGAGAGAGAGACAAACGAAAAAAGAGACTCTTAACTTTACAGAACAAACTGATGGTTACCAGGGGCAGGGGGGCAGGGGGCAGGTGAAACAGGTGATGGGGATTAAGAGTACAACTATCACAATGAGCACTGAGTCATGTATAGAATTGCTGAATCACTATATTATACACCTGAAACTAATAATAACACTATATGTTAACTATAGTGGAATTAAAATTTTAAACTTGATAAAACTTTTAAAAATTATTACACTAAGATCCAAGACATACCTACACATATATGACCGAAAAATAAGTTTCACTAAACAATACTTTGCTGGACTACATAAAAGGCTCTCCAGTACATTCTCATTCCAGCCCATTCTTTTTCATTTCATTTTTCAGGATTAACTTCACAACTTGTTAATGGGTTACAACTCAAGAGTTTGAAAAGTACTTGTCTAGGGGGTTGGGACAAACGGACAGAGCAGATGGTGTTTAGGGCACTGAAATTATTCTATATGATACTGTAATGGTGACATGTGTCATTATACTTTTGTCCAAACTCAGAATTTACAGTGCCAAGAGTGAACTCTGATATAAACTGTGGACTCGAGGAGATAATGATGTGTCGTAGGTTCATCAGTTTTAAGACATGTACCACTCTGGTGGCAGATGTTGATAATGGGTGAAGTCTATGCATGTCAGGGAAAGCAGTTGTATGGGAAATCTCTGTACCTTACCCTCAATCTTACTGTGAACCTAAAACTGCTCTAAGAAAAATTAAGACACAAAAGTGAAACAAACAAACTTGTCCAGATAATCACAGAAGTTCTTTCTATTTCTAGCATTTTATGATGAGGCATGAACAGATTTGAAATATGACATGATTTTCTTTTTATTTTTTTTAATGTTTATTTACTGATTTTGAGAGAGAGACTAAGCAGGAGGAGGGGCAGAGAGAGAGGAAGAGAGAGAGAATCCAAGCAGGCTCTGTGCTGTCAGCACAGAGCCCAATGCGGGGCTCGAACCCACAAATCATGAGACCATGACCTGAGACAAAATCAAGAGTTAGATGCTTAACCGACTGAGCCACCCAGGCATCCCTATGGCATGATTTTCTTAGGGACCAAGTCTACTCTCAGCATCTACAAGACAGTGTCATATTTCAGGATATTTTTGTTCAACCCACAGTAAACATTACAAGATAAACTCAACAGAGAAAATGGAACAAATTTTGATGTGAACAATGCACAAAATTACATTTCAGGAAGTTCTGAACTTCCTCCTGGGGATCAATGCCCAGCTTTGTTTCCAGTTGATGCTCTCAGGCATGTTACCTAACCTCTCTGAGCTTCAGTATCATGGTCTTTAAAACAGGAATAATGATGGGCCCTTCACATAGCATTGTTGAGGGAATTGAATCAGTTAACACATGTAATGTGCTTAAAGTAATGCTGAGACATACCAAACTATACGTGTGTGTGTATGCATGTATATATATAGTAACTGTTGTAGTAGATCAACTGTTGTTCAGCAAATATTACACCACCACCATCCCTGGACAACACCATTGAAGTCGGGCTTGGTCATGTGAATTTTATCTATGGAACAGGGTAGAAATGAAGGTGTGCCAGTTCCAACTGAAAACCTTGGAGATGTTGTGTTGTCTTTGCTCACCACTTTGAGCACTTCCAGCTTGTGCCATGGGACAACAGTGCCCCCAGGTGGCTCCCTGGTCCAAGAAGGGCACTAGGTTGTAGATACAGAATCCATGACCTGGAGTCAAGCACAGCCTAGTTCAATCAAACTCGAAGCAAACCCGCAGATGTGTGAGCAAGAAATATATGTTTATTGTACAACACTGTTTTTTTTTTCAGGTATTTGTTATGCAGCATTACTGTGGCAATAGCTAACTGATACATCCCTTACCATTACTGCTACTATTAATTCAGTTTGCGCTGCTTAAGCGCCTACTGTGACCAGGCAACGTGACACTAGGAAAATAACCTAGAGCCTTAAAGAATACATAGATGAAGATCCTGAGTCTATCACGATGGCATAGTACAGGGCAGGTGATTGCCAAGGGCTACAATCTTGGTCCTACAAAGGAGTTCAGAAAAAGAAGTCACACTTGACTACTTTTTAAATTTTTTTTTAAACATGAGTGGTCAGGAATCTTTTCGCATTTGCCTTGATCCTAACCAGTAGTAATATAGGATAAGTAAGAGTCAGGTTTTGGGTTAGAGAGACTGGCTCTTTCAATTTAGCAGCTGGGTGATCTTGCATTGAGCCTCTGAACCTCAGTTTTCCCTCTTCGCTTAGTTTTCCCCTCTATAAACAGGGAGATCAGTAGTGGCTATGTGAAATTTGGTTGTTCAGATTTAAACAAGACAATGAAAGTAAAGTGCTTCGCAGAGTCTTCAGGACATAGAAAACATTCAAAATCTCCTTGTCGTTATTAACTCCACTTGCTTTGGGGTAGGGCTGTGTTTCTAAATCTTTTTCATTATTGGCCCCCTAAGACTCCCTAAGGAGTCTATTTGGACATCTCTTCCCCCATTGCCCTGTCCCATGAAATTTTAATACTACAGATATACTTACTGTGTATCTGCTTATATATGTGTATCGGTGCTTCATACATAAAAAGAGGAAGACTTTTCTGGCCTTTCAAGAATAAATTTTACCCCCCTGGGATTTATATTGTCTTCCTCCACCCCATTGAGAATGCATGGCATTCTGCATGGCATAAAGGTTTGGAATAGCCCAAATGAATGTTTTCTATGCAAACGTGTAACAGTCCAAGTTTCTCACCAATGCATGACAATGCATCCCATCCCCTCCTCTCTGCCAGCTTCAAACTCTTCCCCATCCACCCTCTCAGGTGTAAGCAATTCTCCATCTGTGCCAACCAGCACTTGGGCCCCTCATTCTGTTCTTGGCTGAACACTCCTTCCCTTTTCAGGCCCCCATAGGCTCTAGATTTCTATAACATTGACTCTCATGTAATGACCTTGCTTCCTTCACAAGACAGCAAGTCCCTATTCCTCCTGGAAGATAAGAAATTTAGAGTTTCCTTTGCTTCCCAGAGCTATACCTTTACACATAGCAGATTCTGAGGGTTTGCATAGTCTGCTTGCTAATTGTGTGTGTGTAGTCTTGACAGGATGGTGTCACCCACCCACTTATGCTTTAAGTAACTTGAGGACAGAGCTGCCTCTTCATCCCTTTGCCCCCCAGTAGGTTCTGAATACCCAAGTGATGACTGTCTGAATAGTTTAGGATGTGCTAAACTAAAGCTGGCCAGTGACAGCCACATAAACTAAATCTAGCCCACAAGTGATTTTGTTTGCCCAGTTCAGTGCTTTAAATTTTTTTTTAATTTTTTGGAGCATGTAAAAATTGGGAGGTTTCACATAAAAATGCAGATTTCTTGGTGTGCTTGGGTAGCTCAGCTGGTTAAGTGTCTGACTCTTGGTGTTCATGTCATGATTTCATGATTCGTGAGATCAAGCCCCATGTTGGGCTCTGTGCTGACAGCATGGAGACTGCTTAGGATTCTTTCTCCATCTCTCTTTCTCTGCCCCTCCCCTGCTTGCACTATCTCTATCTCTCTCAAAATAAGTATATAAACATTTTTTTAAAAAACAGATTTCTTGCCTCTTTAGAAATATCTGAGGATTGGGGCACCTGGGCGGCTCAGTCAGTTGAGTATGTGACTTCGGCTCAGGTCATGATCTCATAGTTCGTTAGTTTGAGGCCCGCATCGGGCTCTGTGCTGACAGCTCACAGCCTGGAGCCTGCTTCAGATGGTGCCTCCCTCTCTCTCAGCCCCTCCTCCAGTTGTGCTGTCTCTGTCTCTGTCTCTCAAAAACAAACATTAAAAAATTTTTAAAAAGAAAAATCAATAATTATAAAAAAAAAAAAAAAGAAACATCTGAGGATTTAGCCATACTGAGCCTGCATTCCTGCATAACCCCAATGGGCCAAATCTGAACATCAGTCACCTCATGTAGGCACCGGGTGTACACACCCCCATTTTTCATAACCCCTAACCAGCCTGCTTTGACAAGTGATGATACTGCTGGTCTTCTCTAGACTCTTAGTGTTCAACCTTTGTATGGTGGGTGTTTGAAGGCAGGGGAGGGAGAAACCAATTCTTCTCTTCCTGGAACTCTTTAATGACTGCTCCCTTAAGTCCACCGATTTTACTTTCTTCTCAGGACATGATCTTCATCTCAACAAATGCTTACCACAGCCACTGCCAGGAGCCCCGGGCACAGAGTCATATGGATTTGCCGTCTCCATGGATTTCATTGCAATGCTTTCAGGGTAATCATCATTCTTTCTCCCAAGGATGCCCGAGGGGCTATCACCCCTACGACGAAATGAGGGCTGGATTGAAGATGTTCTGCTGAACACCCTGAAATCCCAAAATGATGGATCAATATTCATCTAGTAGCATAGTAAGGACAGTCCTCCATTCATCATCCGTCCACCCATTCATTCATTCCACAAATGCTTACTGAATGCCAACCACGTGTTAGGCATGGTCTAGGGGGTGAGAACACAAAGATAAAAACATGGGCTGTCTACCCTCAAGGAACTCTCAATCCAATCTGGTAGAGCTTCTTAGATACAGCTAAGCAATTATAATACAGGTAGTAACTGGTGAGTACCAGAAGACAGGCCCAGGGAGTTCAGAGGAAAGAGAAAAGAACTCTGGCTGGCAGTTCGGAGGGATATCTACAAGGAAAGAAACATCCCAGGTAGGACTAGAAGGATAAATTCATACATAAAGAGTTAGAAGGAGGGAATTCCAAGGATGAAGAACAGCATAGATAAAAGTGGGAGACGATAAACAAAAGTGTTGAATATATACAGGGAACACTACAAAAATTCATTAATCTGACGCAATGTTCTCAATGTTATGTACATGCCACTTCCCAGGCCCCAGCCCAAACAATGACATCAGAAGGTCTGAAGGATGGACCCAGGCATCTGTATTATTTTTAAAGTTCCCCAGGTAATAGGGTGATTCTAAGGTTCAGTCCAGGTCAAGAACCACTGTACTAGAGGTAGGGAGGGGTTAGGGGAGGTGGGGAGATGGGAGGAAGTCAGTCAGGCAGGTCTTTGGCTGGCACATTAGACCAGTGGATCCTCCTTCTTAAAAGTTTGCATAAGCAAAGCAATGTGGCCTTTCTCCCAAAGCTTATGGAGAACATGGAAGAGCAGAAACAAAGGAGTCAAAGTATCAGAGGTATATTTTGGAATGATGAATCAGGCAGTGGCGGGGATAAGACCAAGGAGGCCATTTTGGGTTTTGTTTTTTAAATGTTTTATTTATTTGTGAGTGAGACAGCATGAGTGGGGGAGGGGCAGAGAGAGGGGGACAGAGATCGGAAGCCGGCTCTGCACTAACACCAGTGAGCTGGATGTGGGGCGCAAATTACACTAGCCAAGAGATCATGACCCGAGCTGAAGTCGGAAGCTCAACCGACTGAGCCTCCCAGGTGCTACCAAGAAGCCCCTTTTGATCTGGTTCTATTAATCGTCCTATTTACATCTTGAAGACATTGTGACCCTGCTGAGCACCCAAATCTTATATCCTTATTCCTCAAGATAAATACAAGCATTAGTTTTTGTTGTATTTATAAACATTACTAGTAGAACTAGTACATGCCAAATTAGACTCCTAAGGGTTAAATTTTCACAGGGTAAAAATTTGTATAGAGTAAAAATAACCTGACTATACAATCACATCTTGTTGGCAACAGGAACTTAACCCAGAAAAAAAAGTCAGATTTGGTAGAACTAAGTCATCCAAACTAACACTGTCAATGTCCAGAGCTGTACCTAATAAAATTTGTCAATGACCAAAAATTGCTAGAAGATTAAAACGATTTTTGACAAAATTTAAATCTACAGAACCTGAGCCAGGAAAAATGGGACTTAGTGTTTTAGAACGAGCTTAAAGAAATACCAACAATGGGGAGAAACTATGATTGATAAAATCTGATGAAAACACCACCAATGCAGAAGATCAATATGCCAAATCTGCCATAAACATAAAAAATGATCAAACAATAATTTTAGAGTAAAATAAAAATGAAAGTAGAAAAAAATCAGGAGTGGCCAAACTAACTTGAATTAAAAAAAAAAAAAAAAAAAAAAAAAAAAAAAAAAAAAAAAAAAAAAAAAAAAAACACAATTGAGGAAGTAAATTGACTTTGTGGAGTTAGATCTCCAAAAGATTTTCTTGGTTAAAATGCATTCCTATGCATATAATTCTGGTTAAAATGTTTGGGTTCATAACTATCAAGTCTTAACCCTAACTTTATTGGCAAAGTAGCAGAGTCAAAACAGTGAGAATCTAAATATCCTGTAGGGATTAGATGGGAAGAGGGAGAAGACTGGAGAGGGTGTTATCCAAGCAAGAGGTGATGAAAGATTATGTTCAGGTGAGGGGTTGAAACCTCAGGCTGAAAGCCCATGGCCCTGGTGAAAGTTCATGGCCCTATCTACAGACAGATATGAAAATTTCACCACAACTTCTGGTCAAAGAAACCATCTTAATTGTCCCTAACCCAAACAATAGCAACCAGGTTCCATTGGCCTGATGGTCTAGCATGCAGCTCCGACCCCAATGGAGGGAGATGCTTATACTTACTCTCTAGTTGTTTCTGAAGTCTCAGAAGAGCCATAATCATGACCATCCTCAGCAGCTGGGTAATCAGGCTTCCCCCAAAAGTTTGGAGAGTTCTTCTGATAATCCTCAGTCCTGGGATAGTCTGGTTCCCCAAAAAAGTTTGGAGAATTAGGTTGATTCTCAGCACCTGGATAATCAGGCTCTCCTAGAGTATCTATGTATGGATTGATTCTGGAACCAGCAAATTCTGGATTCCTTCTAGAGCCTGGATGGTTGGACGTGGCTCTGGAGCCAGGGTAGTCAGAGTTTCCCTGAGCTCCAGGGTAGTCTGGTTCTCCCAGAGAGTCCAGATAATCAGGATTTGTTCTGGAGCCTGCATAGTTTCTACTGCTTCGGGAACCTGCAAAGTCAGAATTTTGTTGGGATTTAGAGTAGTCTGGCTCTCTGAATGAGACTGGATGGTATGGTTCACTCAAAGATCCAATGTAATCTGGCTCTGCCAGAAATTTGGGATAGTCTGAACTTCTTCTGGAGCCTGCAGAGTATGGATTGTTCTGGGTGCCAGGATAGCCTGGATTACTCTGAGATCCAGGATAATCTGGCTCTGCCAGAGACCCAGGATACTCTGAACTTCGTCTGGAACCAGTAGAGAATGGAGTGCTTCTGGTGCCAGGCTGATCTGGATTACTCCAAGATCTAGGATAATCTGGGTCTGCTAGAGACCTGGGATAGTCTGAAGTTGTTCTGGAGTCTTCAGAGTATGGGTTGTTCCTGATGCCAGGGTAGTCTGAGTTGTTCAGAACACCTGGAGAATCTGGAGAATCCTGAGTTTTCAAATCCCCCCATGTCCAGTTCTGAGATCCTGAATATTCAGGGTAATCTGGATCTTCCTCATAGCCATAGTTCCTGTAGTAGGCAGACATGCTGGTAAAGCTTCTTTACCGTGGAATGTTAAAATGTTCCTGCATTTGTAGTTACTCAGGGATCTTTTTTTTTTTTTTTTTTTTTTTTTTTTTTACCTGAAAAACAAGCAAAAAAAAAGAAGGTCAGATTTTTTTTTCTTCCCTGTAGAGATTGCTGGTTATCTTCCATTATTATCTATTCTCCTTTCTTTCATGGTTGGGTACACAGCTGCCCAGAATCAGAACTATGTATCCCAGCCTCCTGTGCCCCAAGATGTGACCATGACAGTGGTCAGTGGGATGTGAACAGAAGCAATATATATAACTCCCAGGGTTGTGCTGTTTAAGGCAAGGGGCACTCCTCCCTTTGTCAGTCTTCTTACCTCCGCATAGGCTGGAAGGTGGAAATGATGGTGTGCCATCTTGGGCCATGTACACGAAGATGGCACCCACCCCAGGCATAGCAGCACGAAAGATGGAAGCAGCCTGGGTTGCTGATGACATCACAGATTAGTGCCAGCATATCAGCGAGGGCTTTTATATAAAAGAAATAAGCCTTTGTCTCCTGTAAACCACGGTTTTTGGGGGGTCTCTGACACATGTGGCCAAACTTCCATCCTAACCACTATATTCCCTTGGTTGTGGGGGGAGCAGAACAATAAACCAAAAGACTGGAAGAAACAAGGACCTTGTGAACATTTCGATTGCACTTGTGGTTGTAGGGTTTAAAGCATAAATTAGTATTAGTGCACAAGAGAAGAACACTTAATGGTAACTAGAGGACTTGGGTAGGAAGACAATTGCTACCATCCCTTCCAGTTTGAAACTGTGTTTTTGTGAGTTCTCTGAGCTCTAATCTATAGACAGGGCATACTTTCAAATCAGAAATAATGGGATTTTAATTTCTGAGTGTGCTGGATATCTGTTGTGTTTACTTGCCTATTACTCCTTTTCCCTTCTTTTGGCACCAATGCCCTGGTTTTCATCTGGGCACCTGCCCCTCCCCATTCCTGACTCCAAGGACGGTCACACGACCTAGGCTTAGCCAATCAGGAATGGGTATATAACCCAGGATTTGGTTCAGGAATGGGTATATAACCCAGATCCGTCCTCCAGGAGCTTGACTGGACTAACTGGGAAAGATAACCTCTTATTTCACTAAGTTGCCAAGGTGATGGAATGTAAGCCTAGAACCAATGGTGTCGTGTCTATAGGAACAGAGAAGACAATAAGTACAGGAGAAAATTTAAAGGAAAAATCAGTAGGATTTGTGGACTAACCAGATACGGGAATGGTGAAGGGTAAGGAAATGAAAAGACAAAAACAGCTCCACGGTTTCAAGCCACCGTGATTAGATAAGTAGTGATGTCTTTGAAAGAAGGAAGTAAGACCATTTTTAAAGTTCAGCCAATGTTTACAAGTTTATCTCTATACAAACGAAAAAGGTTAGACTCTGTTGAGTAATCAGAGCTGAAGAATTAATCTTCTGCCATTACCTGTAGTCTTAGAATATGCACTCACCAACTCAATTCCACATCCCTCAGCATAGTGGAAGTCAATTATTCATTATTTTGTCCCTGCCTAGCAGCCATTTCTCTCTTTTATGATAACATTTTCCCTTGAGTAATACCTCTTCCCCCTCTTAGTCCATGTGGGCCAGGTGTGGACTTATGACCCAGTCAGAATTCTCTTCTTTCTGGCCACAGACATTGGGTCAGGGAACATAATCCCATCAAAGTCAATGAGATTCAATTCTAAGAGTTTTGTCAGAAATGCTGGGAAGAGAGAGGCTCTCTATTTTGGCTGGATATGGAGTTAGGAAGCTATAAGACTGAGGCTGCCAGGGGTCATCAGTGGAGGAGGCCTGTCTGAGAGTAATGTCGACAGGGAAGAGTGAAGAGCCAAGAGATAAACAAAAGAAAGATCAAATGTGGATGACAGTGTTTCAGCACCTGAATCCAGCCATGCCTGCTTCATACTGGGTACTTGAATAATTACATTCCCTTTATTTTTTTTTAGTTTATTTATTTATTTTGAGAGAGAGCACGTGCACGTGCATGTGCACAAGCAGGGGAGGGGCAGAGAGGGAGAGAGAGAATCCCAAGCAGGCTCCGTGCTATCAGAGCAGAGCCCAGGGCTGGGTTCAATCTCACAAACTGTGAGATCATGATGTGAGCTGAAATCAAGGGTGAGATGCTTAACCGACTGAGCCACCCCGGTGCCCCTCATTACATTCCCTTTAGACTTAAGTTAGTCTAAGTTGGGTTTCTGTAATTTGCAAATGAAAGAGAAAAGTTTTGACTAATATATCTAGTTTTGCAAACAGAAACATCTACACTTGTGAGGGCAATGAAAACTAAACGCTATATGATAATGCAGATTATTTCTCATAACATGGAAAATGAACCCATTCATTTGCTTGTATGTAAGAGCACGAGGAAATATATTTATGATCTAGGATTTCCACAGCCTACCAAAACCCCAGCTCTTACATCTAACTGATGCCTTCAAACAAGCTAACTGATGCCTTCTAAATTCAAGAAAATGAAAACTGATACAATGCCACCTGAAGAGAAATGAGTGTGTCCGCCAAAAGTCAGAGTGTTCACAGCTGCTTCTTGTCCATAAATGCCAGAAATCGAAACAACCAAACGTCATTCAACAGCAAGAGAAGTCAATAAACTGTAGCATATTCATACAATGAAATACGACACAGAAGTAACAGGACTGAACTTCTCTACTACAAAGACATAGTTGTAGCTCACAAACGTAAGGATGACTAGAAGGCTCAAACACAAAAAAAGGACAGACTGCGTGACACTTATCCAAAGCCCAGGAACAGGCAAACTAGTAAATGATGACAGAAGTCAGAATACTGATTACCCTGGGGAAGGGAGGAGATGGGAAATGACATGAGGGGGCCTCTGGGTGCTGGAATGTTCCATATGTTGATCTGGGTGATGGTTACATGTGTGTGATGGTGTGGTGTGTGTGTGTGTGTGTGTGTGTGTGTCTGTGTGTGTGTGTGTGAAAATTCATCAAAGACACTTAAGAATTGTGCACATCTTGGGGCCCTGGGTGGCTCAGTCGGTTAAGTGTCCAACTCTGGATTTCAGCTCAGGTCACGATGTCACGGTTTGTGAGTTTGAGCCCCGTGTCCGGCTCCAGGCCAATAGTGTGAAACCTGCTTGCGATTCTCTCTCTCTTTCTCTCTCTGCCCCTCCCCCACTCACGCTTGCACTCTCTCTCAAAATAAGTAAATAAATAAATAAACATTAAAAAAAAGGAAGTGTGGGGGCGCCTGGGTGGCGCAGTCGGTTAAGCGTCCGACTTCAGCCAGGTCACGATCTCGCGGTCCATGAGTTCGAGCCCCGCGTCGGGCTCTGGGCTGATGGCTCGGAGCCTGGAGCCTGTTTCCGATTCTGTGTCTCCCTCTCTCTCTGCCCCTCCCCCGTTCATGCTCTGTCTCTCTCTGTCCCAAAAATAAATAAACGTTGAAAAAAAAAAAATTAAAAAAAAAAAAAAGGAAGTGTGCACATCTCTGTAAATGTATTTGTCCTTAATTTTAAAAAGGAAAATGAAAAAGACCTAAACCAGAAGCCATAACACAAAACCCTCTGTTTTCCCACAGGGTTATAAAGCAGTTGGGGGAAAGTAAAAAAATAAAAAAAGAATAATCTGGCTCACAAACATTTCCAATTTTCTTATATGTATATACCACAGAAAATCTGAATTAATGAAAATGAAATCTAGGTAAGGACAGGACACACTACCTGGATTGAACCATCTATCTACGTACTGCTGTAAAATGAAAGTGGTCAGGAACCCAGCCCTTGACATCAGATATAACTGTATTTAGTTGCCATCTGCTGGCTGTGCAGAATTGGGCAAGCCATTCAACCTCTCTGAGTCTGTATCTCAGCCACCCAATCCTGAAAAGAATATCTCATAAGGCTATTATAAAGAATGAACAAGATAAGTCACATAAAGCCGTTGGCACCAAGGAAGCATGCACTGAAAAGAAGCTATTATCTACCATTATTTGTATTTATGTGTAATATAAACCTTGGCAACTTCCAACGGAGAGGGGAGTTGGTGGACAATTAAAGTCACACACTCAACCAGGACCTGACTAAAAAAAATAGACCATGTTTTATAACAAAGTACAGGGAGGAGAACTCTGCGTAATTCCTGGGCTGATGTAGTGACTCTAATGAACTAGATTTTGCTGTGAGCTTCTTATTAGCCCAGACTGAAAGGGAATCATGACAGGCTATCTAATATTTACTACTTGTGAAAAAGAGGAAGTATACCAGTTTTTCAAGAGGGCCACACTTCTCTCCCAGGATGAATTTCTGAAAAGAATGTGTCATAAGAATGTTTCCAAAGGGATCAGATAACCACATAATAAAGCCAGGGTTCACGGTCACCAGCAAAGAGCTCAGAAGCTCTAGCGAATACACGCTGAGTTGCGGGGGGGTGGAGGGAGGTCACCGTGAGGTGATCAGTGGCCCCTTGCAGAAAGGCAGCAGCACACAGCTATTTTTAGGCAATGGGTTGTGAACAAAAGTGACTGTGCCACTTCCAAGCCAAGGCATTTAATAACCAAAACACAGCTTTCTAGCTCCATTTTTCCTGCAATGGCACTATCATTTCACATGGGGACCCCATTCATCAGCCTGGGTTCCTGCATGACTACGCAGGGCACTGCCCATGTCCACCAACCCACAATAGCTCTTATGGAAGCTTTTTTTTTTTAAGTTTATTTATTTATGAGAGAGACAGAGACAGAGACAGAGAGACAGAGCATGAGCAGGGGAGGGGCTGAGAGAGAGGGAGACACAGAATCCGAAGCAGGCTCCTGGCTCTGAGCTGTCAGCACAGAGCCTGCCGCGGGGCTCAAACCCACAAACTGCGAGATCATGACCTGAGCTGAAGTCAGATGTTTAACCAACTGAGCCACCCAAGCGCCTCCCCCCACCTACCCATGAACGGTTCTTCATGAGCAAGAAATAAATTTT